TCGAAACTAATGAATAATATTTATGAAGATCGACAAGAAATAGAAAATTTAAAACGTAAACTTCAAACTAGACGTCAAACACTACAAGAGTCACACGCACATTTGTCACGGCAAAAAACATTCATTGCAAAAGAATTTGAAACAACAAAAGAAAGATGGCATGTTGTCCATAAATTATTAGCAGAATCAAGAAAAGTTTTAATTAATGAGGTTATATCATTGTTTGAATTAAAAAAGATTCGGGATGCACAAGCTCAACATAATGCGGTCAGAGAGAATAATGATGTTGTAACAGAAAAAGGAAAATTTTCTACTAATGAAGAAGATTTTGAATATACAATTGGTGGTTTGATTCTACTAAAAAAAGCTGATTTCATAAGTAGATGTAATAAAATAATATTATTTACTGAATATTTCCTGTAAATTATACAATCAATAATTTAAGATATTTTTTTTTCTCATATTCGTTCGTTAGTGTATCCACTTGAAGAAATAAATACAGCGATAGGATATGTCATACATATGCTAGGATTGGTAACAGGTTATTTAGGCGTACAATTACCATTCACGATATACAACAAAGGATCTGAATCTTATGCAAAAGGTAGCCTACCACTAGAAGATGAAAGGTAAAAAAAAAGAAATCACAATATTAATTTAAATAAATTTTAGATTTCACAATATTAATATTTAAATTTTTTTCTTTATAAATTATTAATTAATAGTAAATATTACAATAGTAAAAGAAAACCATTGTATTTAGCAGATCGTAGACACATGGAAAAATTTATTATAGGAATGTCAATGCTAAATTATAACATAGCATTTCTATGTCATACTCAAGGTATTGAGATTCCATTTCATCAAATATCCCATACACTTGAAAATTTATATCTATGTTGTACTGCACCGAATCTTGGATTGTAATTATTAGAATGATTTTCTTGTATATGTTTAAATTTTCCAATGAACGTTTGTTTATTTTATTATTATGAATTATTCATAAAATCATTATTTTTTTCCTAACAGATGTGATCATCTGGCTGCTTTGAATCGTCTATACGATCATTCATTTAGCATAAAATTTGACGATGTAGTTCGAATCATGAATTCATTATTAAAACCAAAGGTACAAAAAGATAATAGACTTTATTATAATAATATTTCTGATACCACATTGTACGATTATTTTGAAGAAGGTAATAATAATCATTAAATCATATTTTTTGTTATTATATATATCATTATATAAAAAATTTTAAATTCTGACTTACCATTAACAAATTTACAAATTTGTAGAATTTGAAGATGATAGTAGTAATATGGACGGAGAAACTTGGGTTATTTGTGATACTGTATGATGTATGTATGATAAATTACTTTATATCTATATTATAATTATATAGGTATTTAATTAATTTTTTCTTTCTTTTCGAAGCCTTTTCCTTCCAATTTTTCAAAAAAAAAAATATAATTATTAAAAATTTGATTATAGAAAATTTTATAATTATATTTTATATTTTGTAATTGTAAATTTATCATTTTTAAAAATTATCATTATTTATTTATTAAAATTTTTTTTTCATTCATTCTCAATTGTTATTATTTATACATTTGAAAAAAATATATATTTCATACTATTTCATACACTTATCCATTGGAATCCCGTAATTGATTGATATATTTTATTCGGGATTAATAAAATAAATAACTGAAATATATGGAAGTAAATTTAATTGAAACTTTCTAATACAACATTTAACATATGAATAGATGTTTTGTATGCTCTTTCACATCCTATCTAATCAATTTATTTACGGCAGCCTGGCGACTCTAACCGAGAAAAAGAAAAGTTCTATTAAATTAATTTTATATGTAATGTTAATGAACATCCAGGTAATTGGGTTTGTAAATTCCTATCGAGAAGATTGTCGTCAATGTGGAAATAAAAAACATCGTAGGAAATTGGTCATGTCCAAACTGAGATTTTTAAATAGATTAGATTGTAAATACTAAATCGTCTACCTTTATCAAATCTTTTATTGATTATTTTTACAGTATATAGAAATAAAACTTGTTATTATTATTAATAAGAAAAAAATATTCATTATTAAATAAATAAATAAATAAATAAATAATAAATACACAAAAAAAAACAAAAATGGAAGAGGTTTTTAAAAGCCGGTGAATAATCTAAAGAGTAGATATATGCAACTTCCCATGAATCTAAAAGCTGCCAAACCAGCAACTGACCAAAGCACAACTCCCATATAGACGTTTGATCTGACTGTTGGATCAACGATTTCAGCTAAAGAAACGCTAGTATTTGTAATAACTGCAACCAATGCAGCATTAGTAATGATCCAAATCAATACAACACGTGTGCGGAAACCTTTATAATAATCTTCTTGATCTTCTTTTTTTTTGTCGGCTTCTTTTTTTTTTTTTTCTTGTAACTTTTTTTGTCTTTTTACTAATTGTTCGGGTGAAAGACTGTCTTCATCAACATTTTCATCAATATCTTCATCACTATCTCTTTTTCCTTGTAATTCATCCACTGCATCTTGATATAATTCATTTATGTCTATTGCCTCAGTTGGGACCTGAACTACAGCTGTCTTATCATCACCTGTAGCTACAGAACCTAAGTCATTATGTTTTGCTGCTGATGCAGTATCGCCTTTAGTTCCCCAACTAAGTAATAATAATGATAATGATGATAGGTTAGTTGTCAATTATAAGCTTATATAAAATATTAACATTAATATATATATAAATCAAAATTATAATTATAATTCCGACGATTAAGAATCTTACCTGATGTCATGTACATTACAAAAGGCATATACATTCAAAATATTGATATAGAATGGAACCAACAATAAATATTGGATTAAACTATTAAACATATGATAGGGTTCAAAAAACATGAAACTGGCAGTAAAATATAATCCATAAGTAGAAATAACTGAAAGAATAATGTTTCTAAATGTTGAATTCCCAAAAATAGCGCCAGCTGTTGAAACATTAGCACCTACTTCACCACCTGTTGCTTCTCCTAAACTTGCTATTTGTGCTGAAACTCCTTTATATGTTAACCATCCTGCTGCAAATAACATGTAAATCATAAGTCCAGAAAAAAATACTATTGATACGATATAAGCCCATCTAGTCCTTTTTTTTAAAAAAAAATTTTTCAAGAAAATTAATTACTTCGCTAATATTTATTATTAAGAAAACATTATTTGTCATTAATACGATATTCACCCTTGAGGTCTATTACCCATAGCCAATATAAATTGCACTATAAGAAGTGTCATATATACGTATCGTAATATATTAAATATAACATCACCGGCAGTTTTACTCCATAAACCTTCAATAACTGAATCCTCCGTAAGAGCATTACCCAAAATGTAGAAAGTTAAATAAAAATTACCCTACAAAAAAAAATAATAATAGTTAGTAATAATAATAATCAAAAATAAATATATAATTATGATTTATTTACCAATCCAAACCAAGAGAAAATCAAATTATATGCTTGATAAAACATTTCAACGTGTAATAATATTTTTCTAAATTTAGAGTGACCACTTCTCCATATTGCAAAGGTATGATATGTAGCATATACACCAGCAAAAAAAGAACCGTTCAACCAACGACGTCTTTGAGAGATCAATTCAGCTACTGTATCAGGTACATCAGTTTCAGCACTAGATGATTTTACATATTGTAATAACCAGGCATCATCTCTTTTCGCAACTAATTCAAAACACAAAATACGATCTTCAGCGAGATACATATTGGCTGTAAAGATATCCGCATCACCTCCATGCAGAGTCTCGCCCAAAAAATATGATTTCAAAGGACCTACACCATCTTTGTTATTTTGAAGAGCACGGTAACGATATGCTGAAAATGCACCAGGTAATACAGTAATATACCCAAATACAGACTCGAGTGGTTTATCCAAAATGTTTGACATTTTATATTCAAAATTTTGTGATGCAACCAATGGATTTAATAAATTCACTCCTCCACTACCTGTCATGGCTTTAATTTCACCGCATGCACCACCAAGATTAGGATTGATGTCAAAAGCTTTCCATAAATGATAAATTGATGTGCCACTAGGTTTTGTGCCAACATCAATTAAAACACATACTTGCGGATCTAATATTTTACCAAATGCATTGAAAAACCAACGATGAGAGTTGATTTTTTTTGCGTTCTTTTCCTTCAAGCAAAAAAGAACTTGAATAGGAACTGAGTTCTCATCCCTCTTCTTAAATTTCATATCAGCACCAATGGAAACCTGTGTAGTGTACTCATAAAGATGAGCAGATACTGGTTTACCATTAATTTCAGTTTTAGCTACTCCTTCCTGATAAACACCTAACGCTGCCAAATAAGATAAAGTTCGTTTGTTTATCTTGGTACGACCATCTGACACAACACAAACAACAACTTTTTTCCATCCATCTTTTCCCCACGTACGAGAACGTACACGACTACATAAATGATTAATATTTTTTTCAACACCTTGAAATGTACGAGCAAAAAGTACTTCATCTTCCTATTAAAAATAATTAATTAATTAAAAAGAAAAAAACATTAGTGACATAGTAAATATGCATATCAACTTTAGTTCCATTACATACATTATACATAGTGAGTACGATAAATAATTCTGTTTGCCTTGGTGGATCATAAAGTTGTTGGCGAAGTGTATAACCGTCGGATTGAAAATCATTGGGATCGCAAGTACAAGGGGTATATCTCATTAATGTAAATTCTCCGTCATTTTTTCTTTGAACCTCAGATAAAAGTTTTGTTGGAACTGGACAATCAAGAACCACCTTTCCTCGAAATAAGTTAACTTTTTTAGTAGTTTTAAAACGACGTGGTTGCCTTGCAGGCGCGGTACCGTAATGGAGTGGAGCCTTTTCTTCATCCGAAGGTTCTATCTCAATATCGGTAAACTCCTTTCGTTGAACCAATAAAGGTTGTGTAGCAGGGTCAGGATAAGTTGGGTTTTGTATATTTGGAGGTTGTATATTTGGAGGTTGTATATTAGGAGGGTAATTTGAGGGTTGAATATTTGGAGGATAAACTTGAGGCTGTGATGTTTCTTGGAGCCCTTGCATGTATCCACCATGCTGTTGCGGGTTCTGTGGCGGCGATGGTGGGTATCCTTGCTGTGGTGGATATCCTCCAGTTGGATATTGTGACATTATCGTTATTTAAAAATTGAACTGTGTGATGTGATAAATTTTATTAAATAAAAGAACTTTATAAAAATTTTTTTTCTTTTTATAGAATTAGTTCTTTAAAAAAAGATTGAAAATAAGTAGTGTCCAAATAAATAGTAAAAATTGTACTTTATTATATTGCTATTTTTATCCATTAATATCCAACAACAAAATGAAATTTTAAATTTGTATTTTTTTTTTTCCAAAGATTTCATGACGTGTAACACGACTATTTATAGGAGAGTTAGCCTGAAACCCTCTCTGGTAATTATCCTTCAAGATCATTCTTTTGAATCGCAATTAAAATTCTGAATGTCTTCTTAAAAACGAATAAAAATAATTATTATTACTATGTACGAGGTGGTCCTTTGCTTTCATAAATTTTTTGTCAGATTTCCGCATTTTTTTCTTCTAGCCTAGATCTTGTTTGTGTTACAGAGGATGTTTTTCATAACCGCATTTGGTAGAATTTTTTGCTTACCGATAGTGGTTTTGTTTAAGCGTAACCGCTTTTGCATGTAGAAATAATAATATAATTAATTATCTTAAACATAGGGCGTCGTTACACATCAAAAATCCAAAAATCCTTATAAGCTTTTAAAGTTGTGTGATAATCATTGGCCATTATAGATGTCCTACACTATATCACTATATGCTTATTATTATCATTAAAATCAGATGATTTTAAGGGACATCTGTTTAAAGATGTAATCTTCTTCACCACACAATAGATAAGGTCACTATTATTTGGATCAATATATATACAGTTTTTAAGCACATTTCTATTTTTTCTTTAGTGAAGTGGAGAATGGCACTTTTTTACTGATTTAAAGATTTTTTTATAATGCATTTAAGGTTGTGGGTGAAACTCTTCCAGAAATCAATCAACAGAGTTTTGACGGGTTACACATTAATTGTTTATTAGAGTTTTGGCAGAGTTTTGCATTTGGGGATTTTGTCAATCATCAGAGTTTTGATAAGGTATATACTAATTGTTCATTAGAGGTTTCGGCAAGCAACCTTAAATGCATTACTGCTAATTTATTATCTTTATTATTATTATTAAAAAAATTTTACCAAGAGGTTTGTGTCTAACAAAATATTTTTAGATTTTAGGTCTCCTCTTATTGGTGGTATCCCATTAAATAAAAGGAACCCATTATCTCAATTCAAATAATGACCTACTTTTTTATAAGGGAAAAATATTTGATTTATTGGTTGGAATTAATATTTGTAAAAATTTAAAATTGTATGTGATTATGAATCTTTTATTTATGAGATTAGTTTTATGATATGGGGCATGCAGTAACAAAACCAGGCAAACTGAACATTGGTATTACCAAAAATTTCAGGGATCAAAATTTAGTTATTATCATCGCAATTAGTTTTATAATGTCCCATTTGTTAATCAACATATAGAACTATTCCTATACAAAAATAATAACATGAAATTCATTTACATCAGATCTACCATGGAACCAAGAATTACAGCACCATTAGAAGTATTTTGAAGAAAGAACAAGAGTGGAAAAATTCCTCCTTATGTCTTCAAAATAAATGACACTCAGACACTTGAAACTTATCTAAGAAAAGAAAAGATTAACAATGAAATTTACCAAGAAGAAAGAAAAATAATAAGTGTTGGAAAAGGAAAGCATCATGATGATGCATATTACCTAATTAAAAGCAAAATTCTTTAAAAGGAAAATTAACTATCATTTTCTTTGATAGTTGGAATGAGTTTCAATTTATACAGAGGAAAATTTCCTTAATCTCTTTAAATTACTTTCTTATATTCAAACAAGGCCATTTCTTAGTTTCTTTAATTTCAATTTGAGCGATTTGACCATTCTGTTGATCTTTTAATGTCCTGTTTTCCTCTTCTAGTTCTTAATTTTTTTCATCTAAACCCTTTATATTTCCTGCTTTTGTCTTTTGTTTCACTCCTTGGATTTTTCTTGGAATTTGGTACTTCCTCTCTTTCAATTTCTAAGGCTTCTTCAGTCTTGTTTAGTTGTTCTTGTAGGGAGTTTATTTGTCTTTCACAAAAAACAGACTGATTTATTTCTTCATTAGGTAAGAGGGGAGTTCTTTCTCTTTAAGTCTTCATTGTTTCTAATACAGTAGAAAACATTCTTACCAATAACAAAATCAAAATCTAACTTAGTTTGCAATCTACCACACCTATTACAATTTAATAGTTTGCCATCCCAATCAGTGTTGGAAATTGAGTGCTGGGTTTGTGTTACATAAGAAATGCACACATTTTGTGATTATACATTTGCAAGCATGTAAATTCAAATACAGCTTATGATGTGTCCAATAAATATATAAGATAAAATAAATAAAAAAAAAGTCCAATATATAAATCTCCCTGTATCAGCACACAGCTCAGGGTTCTCAATACTCTATACCAGGCCTCTGTATCCGCACACATCTCAGAGCCTACTCAAAACTCTCTCTATTGCGCAATTCTCTCTCTACAGTACTAATATGAAGTACTGCTGGCAAAAGCCTAAAAATGATAAATAAAATAAAAAGAATATATACAAGAAATATTTACAACTATACCACTTGAGGCATCCCTACAAGCAGCATAGAACAATCAAATGGGGGGTTCCTAACTAATGATTAGTCGCCAGCCACTAATCACCAGAGGGGACCATGGAACAATTCACAATGGCTTTTCCTATTAACTATGCAAAAATTTGTAATAAGGTAAAATGTGTTTATTTAATTATTAACAACGGGGGGGGGGGAAAAAGAAAAAAAAAAAAAAAAAAAAAAATTATTCAATTATTATGAATGTTATTAACACGATCTACTCTATTCTCACTTGGTCTAAAACCAAGCCTTTTTATACCTCTTGAGGTATTACAAATAACATGACCTTTACAATATTTTATCCAATAAAATATGCTTATTAATCCTATTTCTGTATTACTAGCTTACTAATTGCTAATTACTAATTCTCTGAGTAATTATTACAAATAATTTGATTAATAATTCGAAATAAATAATTATGTCATAAAATAAGTTAAAAATAGAAATGATGTAATGATCTACACGTGTAACATGACGTGCAAAAGCATATCAGATAATTGCACTTATTTTACTTCGATATATTCTTTGACCAGATGTGAAGTCATCCGGGTTCGATGTTATCCCTCGAAGAATAATGTTACCATTGTTCATGTCACTTCGCTTTTCGCTATGACAATCACTAGTAATATTAGGGAGCTTACTACTTTCTTCCATTGTCAGATCCGGTCTAAACAATTTCTGATTTCGTAAGTCTTTTTCAATAAACTGAATGAAGTTGGACTACTCATTACTGTTATCTCATCCTGACATCTAATAGGTTATAATACAAATCAGAGGTTGCAAGCATTAACATGACTCTTGATCTAATAATGTTAGATTGTGCAAGGTATAATATAGATTGTAAAGATTGTGGCATTAAAGGGCATTGTAAACATTAACTCCTTTCATTCTACAATCTCACTTTCCATTATAACTCCTTTATTTATTTTGGAACTACTAATCCTAAAATGGATAGTCTTGTCTATTTTTAAATAAATTAGAAGATTTTATTTCGAATATTTGGTATATTAATTTTCAAAACAATTCTTCAAATTGTTCATCTGATTAATAGTGAATTTCTCATCAGAATATGTCATTCTGGATGCAATAGTTTTTTGATGGATTTTCTCATTGATAGCTTTTTGCTACTTAATATTTACTCTTTGGAGTATGCTTCCTCAAGTTTATTAAGTTTAGATGTTGAATTTTATAAAAATTTGCTGACACCAGTGCTCATTATTAATGTAGATTCTCGATTTTGCTAACTTCATAGTTAAAACGAATTTCATAATAAAAGAAAGTCAAGTTTATAATATAATAAATTGATATTTTATTTAATGATTTGGTTATAAAATACATGTAATAATAAGATAGATGAAAAAGTTATAAAATTCAACATAAGGTTGAAAGTTAGGAAAATAAACTCCCTATTTATAATAAAATTATATTTCTGAAGATCACTTTGATTATTCATCAATTAATAAGATTTCTAAAATACTTAATAAAATTCTCTTTAACTGACAATACTCCTGATCATTGATTATTCTTCTGATTATTAATTATTTTATTCCTCTGTGTATTGATTAGTAATCTCATAGATCCCTGACTCATTATTCAGAATATCCAGTATTATTGCCAGTTCCTTTTCATCTTTTTTGTCTTGTTCTCTTTGTATCTCTATTTTTTGTATCTCTTTTTCGTATATTTTGGTAAATTGCCTTGTTCTCCATATTATTGTATCAACTTCTTTTTGAGTGTATATTTTTTCTTCAGTTTGAGTCTCTTTTTCTCGAGTGCTACCTGTTTCTACTGGTTCTCCTTTTACTAGACTTTCAATTTTTTCTTCAATTTCTTTGAACCTTTCTTTGTATTTTTCAATTATCTTTTCCATTCTTTCAATGTATTTACTTTGTTGTTCTTTATAATTCTTTTGTGAAGTTCTATTTTGCTCTCTTCTTCTTTTCTTATTTTCCCTTTCTTGGGTGGTTTCTCTGAAAATTTGTTCAAAGTCTGATTTTTCTTTGGCTTCTTTTTTCTCCAGTCATTTTTGATGGGTATTTATAGTACTTTAATTTCTCCGATCATGCCTTTCTTATATAAGTTTTTGTTAGTTAATAAAATTCTCTGATTACTCAGCTTTTTCTTCTGATTAGTAATATTGGTTATCTTTTTCTCTTATCTCGTCTAATCTCTCTTTTAATATATTACATGTCCTACAATTTCTTTTGTGACTGTTAGTGGTCTAATATTTTCTATTATTTCCTTTATAGTCCATGATCTGTATCCTAATTGTTTGTTCATTATTTGATTGATGATTACTCCATAGTCTTCTGATTTCTTGTTTTCTTTTCTTCTCTTTTTGTATTCTCTTACTTTTTCACAGTATTCACAGGTACAATCCTCAAATCTTTTCCTTCCGAATTTATCTATTAATTTCTCTTCAAAATTTAAGAATCTAAGATATTTTATACATTGATCACATTTTTCTAGGGATGTTAAACAGCTGACTCAACCGTGGTTGAACCGCAGTTTGTCGATCTGATTTACATAAATAACCAATTAAATTTTAATCATGATAAATGTAACAATTTTAAATAAAATAAATAAGAAATAGTCTAAACATTATAGTCAAACAAATTATTTATTTATTTTTACTATTAAGTTTAGAAACATTTGGATAGATGAGATTATCTGTCTGTTTATAAATAGAATAAATAATATTTTTACTACAATTAAAATATTTGTAAAGAAAATGTTTAATTCGTTTTGAAGTAATTCTTTACATATAATGTCTAATGACAATGATTTTTCTGACAACAACAATAATTATCTTCCTGAGTTTGAAATTAACAGAACAAGAAAACGATGATGACAATGATGACAATGACTTTATTTTAGATAATATAACAAATATTTGAAAGTCTATCTTCAACTAATAATATTTGCAATGGAAAATATATCTAAGTAATAAAAGTAAAACAACATCTGCGGTTTGGAATTTTATGTATAAAAAATATAATAGTCAAAATGAAGTTATAGGAATTATTTGTAGTTTATGTGAAAAAAATTATGCAAAAAAATCATCAACACGACCACTTATGGATCATTTAACAAAAGAACATAGTAATATTCTTTCTACAACAAATCAATTACAAAAACCATATAAAGAAAATGATGATAAAAGAATAAAAGAATGTACAGATGCTATTATTAATTTTATTGTTGGGTTCCAAATGCCATTTTCAGTTATAGGAAATTTTTGGTTTAAAAAATTATGCAATATCTTTGATTCATGGTATATCTTACCAACATGTCAATCTTTACAAAATCAAATTTATCAAATATTTGAAAATCATCATAATTTAATTGCAAAAGAATTATCAAAGCTTACAGTAAAAGTATTGCATGTATATGTATATTATATTAAAAATCGCTGTTTAAAATTAACCACTCATATTTAAGGGTAGGGGGAATCACTTGTTAATTTAATAGTAAATCATGGCTCAATTTTTTTGCCTGCCGGGTACAATGTCGATCAATATTTTTATGAAATACAGTCAAGCCTCGTTTCAACAAATCTCTGGGGATGGTCATTAAAATTCGTTGAAACAAAATTTTAACTATTTAGTAATGATCAACACACATAATAAAAAAAAATTTTTTATTTGAAATAACCAGTAATACATGTTTGTTTTTGGTTTCTAACATGATATA